ATTAGCCGCCTAGAGTGGTCCTGACCCGACCAGATAGGCGGGATATAAATAAAATAATTAAAAAAAAATAAAAATTATTTTTGTTTTCTTGTGATATGATGATGAAAACTCAGTGACTGAATTGTTTTGACTGTCTTCCAGTGTCTTGTAATTTCTCCAGATCAGTCAGTACACCAACACCATATTAGCAGGTGTTAACCCCAGATCCAAGTCATCTACTATCATCACACATATGAGCTGAAGTAATGTTCTCCAGGAACTACAGTATTGGTCTTTATCTTCCTGAGACAATGAATGTTGCAGTGCCTGGCCACATTACAATAGGAAAAGGATGCAGTGTATGAAGGCAGGACATGGATTATATTGTAGCACAGAGCTACAGCTGTAAACCAGGATCCAGATGGTAGTCTGCCATGAGTGTTTGTGCTACAGCACTGTACTCAGCTGAACAAAGACTAAAGTGGCATTCGTGAGAAGTCCTGATTCCTGAATTGGTGCACTTCCTGCACAGCCAAGCAGAAATCACTTCTCTATTCCTTTCCACTCATTTTTCAGACTGAAGTGGGAGAAAGGAGAGCATGTACAGTACTAAGGACAGTCTGTACAGCAAACAGCTCAAGTGCCAAAGGAGAGCCTGGAAAGGTTACTTTTAGGGGCTGCATGTGGCCATATTGGCTAGGAGGTTCTATGAGTTCTCTTTTCCAAACTGCATATAAATGGGAGTTCCAAAGCACTAGTGCCATCTTGACATAAAACAGAAACAATGTATGCAAAATGCAAATAAATACTTCTAATAGACATTCATAACTCTTGATCCTTATTCTTCTAAATCTAAAGGTCAACTTTTCAAGTCCATACTTTTAAAAATGTCCAAGGGCTAGCTGCTCAATCTTCTGGGTGAGCTATTTTTATCATAAACATTTTTAATAGCATAAATACTAAAGGAACATGTCTTTATCAACGGTAGAGATATGTTGAAATTATTGCATCAAAATTCATAACTAATATTCCTTCTGCAAGTCAGTAAGTAAAAATTGCAAACATTTTTGCATTTTTTTTTATCACAGCCCCACTCACCTGTCTCCAGGGAAATACATGAAAGGCAAAAACCTTGTTATTTTCAAAATGAAAGAAAACCTCAAGGGACCCAGACTTTTAGCTGCCACTAAAAAGCGCATTTGAATTTCTTAGCCCTGTTTTGAATATATAAATTACTGTAACTTTCTACTGGTGAGATTTTTTAAAACTTCTGGTACATGTTCTCTATGAAGTAGTACATCTGTTTTGGAATTTTTGCCCATGTCCACAGCATGGTTAATTTTAAAAATATAGTGTAAAACTCAAAGGGAGAAATGGAAAGGGAAAGAGCAAACCTCCAGGAATCATAATTTTTATTTGCACAATTTCAAATCATCATCATTTCTCCATATATTACACTATTTCGACCTACTATGTCAGAGAAAAACTGTAAAAATATATATAACATGGCATCTTAAAGATTCAGTTGCTATATTTTAATGTGAGCTTTCATGGACAAGTGAACTTCTTCAGACTTGTATTCTTGTATTGTTTTTGCCTGACTTGCTAGCAGAAACTAACACAACTACTGCTTCTAAATCTGTTTCTACCCAGTGGACAGAAAGAACTACTGTATTTCCTTTGACCAAAAGGTATTTCTCTTAAAGAAATAGTTCCCCTCTACATAGCTTACACATCCCTTGGTTTGGTTACCATAACAAACAGTTTACGCTGTAGAATGGCAATAATGGGTTTCGTCTAATATTAATAAAATTGCATGTCATCAAGTCTTTCTGACTTATGGCAACCCTTTTAAGGGTTTTCTAAGTAGAGAATATTCAGTTCGCCATTCCCTTTTTCTAAGGGTATCCTGGGGCTATACAGCTTTCTGATGACTACACAGGCCAACTGTCCTCAAAGGAGGTACAGCAGGGAATCAATCTCCCAACCTCTAGCTCCAGTGAAGGTCATACCTGCTGTCTGTCCCTAGTGTCTTGTTCTGAAAGATATACTCTGTATAGGAAAGCTCAATTACCTGTCACTTTTAATAGCTACTGGTAGAACTAGGTACAATTGCCCTTGCCTCCCCACCAGGATCAAAGCAATGAATTTGGTTTTCATACAAGCAGGAAAATTTACCTTATGGACCTGGTTTGTATTGCTGTATACAGTATATGGTACCCAACCCTGCCTCAAATAAATCTTCAATAAATATATCCCTTTGCAAGCCTCCATCTTTTTCTTTGTGTCAAGCTGTCTGGATTTGTTAAAGAATCCACAACTTGCTTATAAATTGATGTCTGACATGGAGGATTAAACAGCCCTGTAGGGCTCTTCAACCTACACAATATAGTCTGACAATTAAATTGTCCAGAATACAGCAGTGTAATGCCTGTGATCCCCTCTGGCTGCTATTTAGCACATTTAAACTTGCTGGGACAAGCTTTCAAATGGGAGAGAAAGGCATTCTTTAGACACAAAAATCAGTTAAAGTTTGAGGTGATGCTGATATTAGCTCATATTAATGGACTGAGAAAACGGTTGCTTCTGGGAATTTAAGACAAGACATCAGCTTTAGTATCCAGCTCTCCAGCTGTTTCATCATATGACTGGGCCTTTGTTGGGGAGGGGGCCTCTCATAATGCCCAACATGATGAGGTGTTTGACAGCCTCCTTGTGTGCTGTCACAGCCCGTTCCTTAACTGGTAGTGGATATCTGAGACTGTTGCTTGAAATGTCAAAAAAAAAAAATCAGAGAAATTGATAATGAATAGTATTTGGATGATTTATATAAAATTACATGGCTTCAGCTGGGTTAAGATGAATTCATGCCAATTCATCTAATTATAAATGCTGGTGTTTAGTTAAGTTTATCATAGGCATCTTTTCCTACATGATCTTCCTAAGTTCCTTAGAAAATAAGTTTAAATATTGGGTTGAGAAAACCATAGCCTTTCAAATGTTGAACTCCAGCTGGGCTCACCAGTGATGAGCCCAAATGGGATGGTTTGATATGTGAAAGGTAAAACTTTCCTCATCTGTATTTTAAGATCTGCCAATGTAGCTTGCAATGGGTTGTGTCCTCTAGAGAGGCAAGATGTTCACTGACAAAAGAAGGGCTTTTTCTGTGGTTACCCCAGAATGATGTAAGTTACTCCACAGAGACATCTGTCTGTAATATCCTTTTGAAAGCAGAGAACAAAACAAAACAAAAAGTAAAGACAATGTGGCACCTTAAAGACTGTTACATTTTTATGTACGTTTCCATGGAATGTGTCTCCTTCATCAGATATAAGAGTTAGAATACAGAAACCATATGGTAAAATATTCATGCAAGGCTCCAAGATAAAGGGGCAATGGTGTTTGGCTGCATTTCACACCTAGTCATAATTTAAGACCCTTTTTAGTATTCAATTCTTTTGAGGCACATTTCTGTAAAATAACAACAATGATTAAAGGAAACAACTAGAGAATGATAGAATTTGCTTTTGATGTTTGTTCTGAATAGGTGGTTAGTTGGAAAGGAAAGTAACAGTAGATAACATAATTATCACATTTATTAATGACTTTTTAAAAATTGGTCACTATTTAATCAATTGAGATGGGTGTGCACTATGTGTATATATTTTAAATCAGCTGCTTCCTTCTGGATTCTTGTTCTGTAATTTTTCTTCTCCAGAATAGCAACTTTCAACTTTCTTGTGAAGAGTGTCCTGGTAGACTGAAGTGATTTGAGAATGTTACAGTGTATTGAAGTTTCTGATTTACGTCCATTAAATTTTTTTTGCATAGAAATTGTGCTGTTTGCATTATGTGGAGTGCAAAAGGACATTGTTGGCAAAAGATGGCATAGATCACACTAGCAGAGGAACAAGTAAAAGTGCCCTTGATGTTATGTGAAATGACAGAGTAAAAGTGGGAGGCAGAGCTGGCACCTGGGTTTGTAGCAGGATATAGTCCCTATTGTTGCATCAGTATTGTGTAACTCTTTGCACTTCAATAGTTGCTTGAGATTGTGAGATTATCTGTAAGAAAGTATAGGCCTGCCACCAAGTGCTGGGAAGAGTCATGTTTTCTTGTCAAGGATGGGTTAGAGATCATTTGTGATGTGTGTGAGTGGTCTCAGTAGTAGACTGAAAGTGATTATTAGTGGTGCTCTACCATTTTCTCTTCTGAGTCTATCTTGGCAGTAGGTTGCTATTGGAGTTTTATATTGTATTTTTTTTCTATTTGGGTTTTAATGATATGTTATACTTTATGTTTTAAACTGCCTTATGAAAGAGGTGTAATAAAATTTTAAGTATGTATGTACATACGGTAAGTAAGTAAGCAAGCAAGCAAGCAAGCAAACTGGAGACCTGTATTAAAAGTCTGCACTGCCACTGTTTATCCACATTTGTGCTTTAACATTTAAAATGTTGGCTTCTTGTTGAATTGCTGTAAAACAAGTGCTGATCCCAGTGCTCTGTGGGGCTTCCAAGACTCCATATGAGTATGCAGCTCCAGGGATGGGTTGCTTTATACAATTTGTTGCTTGGGAATTACCTCTGTAGGTAATTGGGTGGAAGTACATGGTAAGTGTATACCTTTGGGTTGAGGAATACAGTAACATGCAGAGACTTTTTTTAAAAATAATCTTGCTTATGCATACATTGATCTCTTTATTCTACAGTTGTGTCCACAATATTGGCCTGAAAATGGTGTTCATCGACATGGTCCTATTCAGGTAGAGTTTGTTTCTGCTGATTTAGAAGAAGACATTATCAGCCGGATATTCCGAATTTATAATGCAGCAAGAGTAAGTACCTTACTCAGTTATTTGCTTATTTTACTTATGAGAATAAATACTTACATATTAAACTACACACAATGAGTTAGAAAACTATCTTCTTCTTCATGGTCTCTGTGAATGCATACTTTAGGGTTTAATCTGCACTTCCGCAGAGGTTCTGGAACATTCTAGAGCTTTATAACGCGTTCGGCAGGACTACCCCCCCCCCAGTACATGTAACTGCCTCAGTTCCTTTTTGCCGCCACTGAGGTTTCATCTCATGACGAGCTCTCTGTTCACCGACTGTTTTCGCTTCTTTTGCTTGTTTCTGAGAGTTAAAAAACAGAGAGGAAATAGTAAGAGACTTGCCCAGTCCCCACCCTGAGTCAACACCTCAGCTGAGATTACATTCTGGATTGTTGATATTTTTTTCCTATAATTTGAGCTGCGTATAAAAAATGCACTATGCTACAAAAAATGAAAAACTGGTCATTTACTAGAAATAAGTTTAAAAACAGATATTTCATGTAAATGAAGTGATGATTTTAAAAAAAAATCTTGTGCCATATCTCTGAGACCTTCATTATTTCTAGTTCTTTGAAGGTAACTAAAGCTCAGAAAAAGCTATTTGGTCATTTTCATTTAATTCACACTTGAAGATTTATAGCCAAGATAATAGTCAAGATCTGTAGCTTTCTTTTGTATCTGCTGTAAAACTAAAATGTGTAGACTCTTTGCATTTTCCATTTTTAACATCAGTTTTTTAAAAGCACTCCCACATGTAAGTATCAGAGTACATGCACAGAATGCAGTACTGAGAAAGGCATCCATTTTGCAACTATCATTACATGCTACTTCCCACTTTTTAAGTTTTGAAGTGAATCTTCTAGAATACTACATTCTAAATTATTTTTCCTTGTTTGTTTTTCTTTTCTTTTTCTTTTCTTTTCCTTTCCACTAGCTCTTAATAAAGAGATGTGATTACAAGAATACAAGATGTTTTTCAAAAGATTATATTATAGAAGCCTTTTATCTGGTTATTTATTTAGGCCACAGTCTCCCAAAGAGAGGGGGGCCAGAAGAAAGTATGCCCCAGCTTCAAAGTCCCATTTTCCCTCCCACAGTTTTTTTTTCCAGCTGCGTAAAGTGGAAAATATTTTTTTGATAGAGGCTTGTCTCAAAAGTTGTGAGCCTTGTCTTAGACAAGGGGTTTCCAACCTTGGGTAACTCAAGTGGTCTTGGACTGCAGCTCTCAGAAGCCTTCACCACTAGCTGTGCTAGCTGCGGTTTCTCAGAGTTGCAGTCCAAGAACACCTGATTTACCCAATGTTGGAAACTTGTGATCTAAGACAAGCTCTCACAACTTATTACCCAACATTGGGAACTACTGTCTTAGACAATATAAAGAACACATCAACAGAAGCTGACAGCAGTTCTAGCTAAGCATTTATACTCAAAAATGAAGCCCATATTTACCTCCTGGTGACAATCACAAAACAAAGATAACTTATTTGCAGGATGCTGGGGTAAGAAAGCCTATGTTATGACAATCATCTATGGTTCACTGCTTATGTAATAACCACTTTTAACAATGTGTTATCTCTGAAGTGTAAGTTGAACCGAATTTCTGCTTTATGTCAAAAGCATGGTTGAGGACTGAGATGACTGTGGAGGAAGCACCCATCATGTCCTTTCTTTGCAATACACTGTCACACCCACACTCATTTTTGTCTCTCTCCAGTGTTAAAATTCTGACTAAGGTGTGGCATGGAAGTTATGGTGGGAGACACTGGATCTCCTCTGAGGTTGAGGCTTTTGTTAGTCATCATCAAAGGCTTTGGAGGCGAAGATCTCTCAAGACTATAGAACTATAGCTTTCAAGGGGTTAACTGCCAGATAGAAGAAGTGACAGTCAGGACGAGGCTTATTCTGTTTGTTCTGTTTGTCTGTTAGCACAAGTCTTTTCTGTTGAGAAGTAATGTTTTTCAGTTATGCTGTCTGCTACTAATATGTTGCTAAGAAAGCTATTATGAAACTGCTATAAGTCTGTCAAGCACAAATTTATACCAATTAAAAATGTTCAAGCAATGTTGGTTTTTCCCCTAACGTGTTATAGAGTTAACATTCTGAAAGTTTTTCCATGACTAAATGAGTATCATTTCATTGGCTGGTGCACACACATTTATGTATGTAGACCAAGTGAGCAAGTATTCATGATCTGTGTGGTGTTTAATACTCATGCTTGATCCACTGTGTGTGTAAACTCAGAAATCTTAGCAGCCAGAAGTTGGTCCCAAGATGAAGAGAACTCATAGGGATCCCTGAAACATGGTGTGTGCATGTACATGTGTACTCTAGGAAGTTTTTTATATCCCTGAAACAGCCATAGTATTCTTGCCATTGATGGCATCATCCTCATTGTGCAGCATAAAGTTGCGCAACAGGATCTCAGCCAGTATGTTTTAAAATCCAGAGTGCCAGTTGAATCCTTTATCAATCTCACAATATTTCAGTTTTTTTAATCAACATCATTGAATAGCTAGGATTCTAAAGAACTAGAAGTATCCCCTCCTCCTCTTTGTTATAAATTAGTGGGACAAAATTTATTCAACTTTCATAATATAAGATAAAATGCCACTTTGGAGAGAGATGCTAATGAAAGGAGGTTTATTCTGAATGCATGAGTCTTTATTTAGCAAGTTAACAATCAGTCATCACACAGTGAGCGTTCTTTCTGAAAATTTGAAAATGAGAAGCATGCAAAAGAGAGAGCAGCCATAATTGGAACTATATTGAAAACTTTACTTTGGTAGACAGTGATTGCTATAATATTAATCACTGTATACTTGGCTGTAGCAGCTGTGCCATTCTTTCATTTCAGCATATTTGTATCTTCAGCTATTTAGAACTTTATCTTCATAACTCTGAACTTCCAAATCATAACTTCTAAATGTAAATTTCTTCAGTACATTTTTGATAGGAAGCTGCTTTAGGAATATGGAGTGTGCAATGAGTATGTTACAAGGATGTAGAATAAATAATGCTGTCTTTTTATTCTCCTATTGGTTGGGTCCCCACAGCCTCAGGATGGCTATCGAATGGTGCAGCAATTTCAGTTCCTAGGATGGCCCATGTATAGAGACACACCTGTGTCGAAGCGTTCCTTTCTGAAACTTATACGTCAGGTGGACAAATGGCAGGAAGAATACAATGGAGGAGAAGGGCGTACGGTCGTCCATTGCTTGTAAGTAATGACAGACTAATGGGGTAGCCACCACTTTGTGACAACACATAGGCATGGGTCTCACTCTGAAAGTCATGAGCCAGCTCCATGAAATATATGGTTTGTCATTTCAATGGCTTGTGTTATGTTTTTAAAATAGCAGCACTGGGCACTAAGGAGGAGAGGATTTCACTCTGCTCCCATACAGTTTGAATGAAAGTCCTTCCCACTCTGAATTTGATACTTGACAAGAAAGCTGAGTAGTTTCTGCCCTGTGCCAAACAACACCTTAGGGATGGGGTTTGTAAGGACAGCAGTAGGATCCTACTTGGGATAGAAAAGTAAACACACAGTGGTACATTGCCTAGTTAACATGTAATGAAAACCACCATCCAGAGACTGAAGTTGCATAACTGCCTTAATGTAGTTCTAGAGCAGTGGTTCCCAGCCTTGAGTAATCCAGGTGTTGATAGATTGCAACTCCCAGAACTTTCACCACTAGCTGTTCTGGCCAGGTTTTCTGAGAGTTGCTGTAGCTGAATGCTACAGTTGCAATCCCAAAACACCTGGGTTGCCCAAGGTTGGGAACCACTGCTCTAGAGCCATCTGGCATCTGAAATGCACTGGCTGAATTCTGCCAATGCCTTTTTGAGGCATTCTTGGCCATTGCTTTGCTTGTGTAGACCAGTGGTCCCCAACCTTGGGCCTCTAAATGTTCTTGGACTTCAACTCCCAGAAATCCTGGCCAGCAAGAGGTGGTGATGAAGGCTTCTGGGAGTTGTAGTCCAAGAACATCTGGAGGCCCAAGGTTGAGGACCACTGGTGTAGACTATTCACCTTCCTCTCTTTCTCTCTACAGCCTTGTCTTGTCCCAAAATGACTGTGCCCTTCAAACTCAAGGTGCTTAAATAGCACCTCTGAAATATTAAAAAATGCACATACCTGCCTGTCCAGAGTTTGTTAGAAATCCCCACAATTGATAAGGAACAGATAGTTTTACCTCATTATATTCTGGTTTCCCCACCCATTGAATGAAAAATATCTTGTGAAGTTTAGCTCATTAATGCTTTGAGATCCACATCTGGGAGGTCCTTTTAAAGTGCAAATTGATAATATCTCTCTCAATTACTCATGATATTAAATAGTTCCACCACATTCATGTGCACATACATATGTGTCACTTTGAAGCATCACAGAATGAAAGAAAGAAAGAAACTCCGACGTAATCCTTGTAAATGACTTTATTTTAATTAAAATGCTCAAAGAATGGCACAATATCATCCAGTATTTTGGCAGCAGGGAACATTTTCTTTTCAGGATGCCTGGATGTGACAGATGTGCCATATTGTGGCTTCCTTTGAAAATCAACCATTTGTGAATGTGCCCTTTAAAGAGCTGCAAGCTAACTAGTCTGTACTCTAATAATTATTAAGGTTTATTATTTTCAGTGATGTGCAGCCTAAAGATGCTGATTAGAATAGCAGTAGAAATAATAAAGTTTCCAGAAGAGAATCTCTTAAAAATTAAAAATAACCAGAAATAAAGCATTATTAAATGCCATATTTAATCATGCAGTTGAACACTTGTGCCTCACATTTTCCAGCAAGCCACATTGTGTTCTCATAATCTTAGAGCAGATAGTATAGTCGTAGTCTTTCATATATAGCTGTAGGATTAGGCTCAGGCCATGGATTTGTCCCTTTTCACCCCAATCCCCCAATATAAACTCCTATCTAATATTAATCATGTTTAAAGCCTTTGCCTAGGAAAGCCTTAATTGCAGTTAAAGCTAACAAAGAAGATGTGTGCCTTAGAGAAAGGGTTGCAGGTAACATGTGATTTTGTTAGGCACAGAAAAGAGCATTTCGTCTGAATTGGCCCCTAAAAATACTATTTCGTTCACTTCTAAAGGTAATTCTATTGGGTTTGTTTTTCCTGCATGAACGAATTCTATTTAATTCCACCAGACAAAAATAAGTTGGAGAACCTATCAGATTGTGACTAGGCAATAGAGAGAAAAGAAGTTTCTTGTCAACAAGAAATGTTTTATCTAAATTTTGTTTTGATAAATAATTTTAGGATTGTCCTTCATTTATAAAGAAATT